TTCAATATAATTCTCTATATTCATATTTACCAATGTGGGGTGTGCGATACACCTCCCTTCACGTGATGAACCCTGGTCAACATATGCTCATACGGCAAAAAGTCTATAAACCGGCAGTCGACTTCTGGTTTCAAACTACCACGACCCCACTGTATGCCATATTCCACCACTTACACAGTACTCACCTTACCTTTTTCTCTACCTTTGTGTCTGTCTGCCTCTTTTCCATCTGTGAATCGCTCCTCTGTTCCCCACCCCTCGACTTTCTGCTGCTTTGATGAATTCAGCTAAATAGCTAATGATAGCTATCAAAACGCCTGCCATTTTGAAATAAATAAATATTTACCAGTATGAAATATTCCTGTGATTACTTCATACTGCATGATAGCGAACATTGCCAATGTGCAAATAAAGAAGGTTAAGCAATTTCCTTCGTTTGAATTAAAATGTTCTCTTTATTAACTTGCCTTCAACAAAGGCTCTTGCTACTTCATTGTAGTTTGTGTGGCAGAGTCGTGAGAAGAAGTGCAAGTGTCACGGTGTCAGCGGGGCCTGCTCTCTACGAACATGTTGGCAACGTACTGGCCCATTCAGAGGGGTTGGAAATCTGCTGAAAAAGGCCTACTTGACCTCTCTCCAGGTGGCCTTCGACTCAGCTACCCGTCAGTTGATTCGGCAAGCGGATCCCCTCTTCTTCGGTGGTATGCCGCTGCCACCCGGTCACTTGACAAAACGCAGTGCCAACTGGTTTATAGCAGGCGGTGGGGAGAAAGTCACACCGTGGCAAAGAATAAAGCGGGAAACTGAATTTGGAGAGAATTGGATCAGACGACAGAAGGATAAACTAGTGTTTATGGATTACTCTCCAGACTACTGCAAAGTTGACCCAAAAATTGGTTAGTATTCAATTTCCCCCTCATCACTTATGCTATGCGGTATTACTGGAAATTAGAGCAATCAAAGCAAAAAAAATAAATAATTGCTGACATCAATAAACAAATCATATTGACAATTTTCCTCATGTTGCTTTCAATCCTTTTGTGGTCATGCTTTGCAAAAGTTTTTTTTTCGATAGATCTGAGTAATAATAGTATTTTCACTCTATGACGCACTTACGTCTAATTTTTTTGTCTTTTGAGAATCATCTTAAATGCTATAGGATCGGAATTTGACGAATTCATTTGGGAAAATAAATGGGAACAAAAACTTTGTTGTCATGTTCCCAACTATTTTTAGCCAACACGAGGTCTCTTTCAATTAACATAGCTAAATAAACTTTCGATCTTTCATGCTAAATCAACTTAATCACTACTGTGCTAGGTTAAAACAGACTTCACTTAATTATGAAAAGTCATGACTTCCAGTGGTTGTTTAGCTTTCTCAATTATCTTTCATCAAATACTTAAATGGCACAATTTCCTTCGAAGCTTTCTGATATATTAATCTCATTATGAGATTTTTCACCAGTCATGTTATTTTTTTATATTATTTCAATTTTTTCAGTTTTTGTCCTTTAAACAATGCTGAATTCATCTCACA